CCCAGTTAAAAAATTTTTCCCCTTACATAACCCAGATAACACGTCGCTAGGTGCAGATCTGAGCCTGGGACTATGATCTACCAGGTCATCTCTTTTCCATAGGAGACTACGGATTCAGGCAACAGTGATATTTGAATTCTTTTCATTTCTGTGGTCTTAGCCAATCTCTCTGTCTCTCTCCCACTTCTTTCGTCCCTCTCCATCCCAACTGTCTCCAATTCGCTCTGTGTTGCAAGACACTGGAAAGAAGGGAGGCTGGGTGGCAGCGGAGCTTTTCAGTCAAATGCAGATTGGTGGCTGAGGACCAGTGCGGTCCTGCAGGCGGGAACTGACGTGGGCTCTTCGGTATGTTTTCAAAACCCAGATCTGAGACCAGAAAGAAGAGGTCTTCCTGAGAGGGCTGGGGAGAGCCCTGAACAGACACAAGCTCGCTGTCTTTACTGTTTCACAGGTGGGAGGACACGATGGGATGCTCTGGGCCAGCCTGGGCTGGGATCCTGCACCCGCCATGCCCAGAACCTGGAGGCTGAGCTGGTCATCTCACCTCTCAGCCCCCTCACCTCCCGGGTGACAATCCGGAAATCATAGCATCGAGCTCATGGGATGATTAACATGAGATGAGAAACATGAACAAAAGTAAGCACTCAATAACTTCTAGCTACTCTGTAATTACTTATAATTATTATTAAGACTCTGACCTGGATACATCAACTCAGGCTACTTCCAGACAAATTCAGGTTTCAAGCAAGTGCTTTGCAAACTTCCCAGAGTAACACATCAGGGAGTCATGACGTCCACTTTGTAGGTTGTGATCAGTGTTGGGCAAGAAATATAGGGGGAGGGTATGGCTCAGTGGTAGAGCAAATGCTTAGCATGCACAAGGTCCTGGGTTTAATTCCCAGTACCTCCATTAAAATAAATAATAACAAATGAGTTGATAAATAAATCTAATTACCTCCCCTCACCAAAAAAAAAAAAAAAGAGAGAAAAAAATGGAATGGAATCATGATAATTTTTTAAAAATGGAAGACATTGCATGTAAACATCTGATGTAAAATGCATTGCTTGCTGTGGTCTGAGGGCAGGGGAGTTTGAAAAACAATGCTTCTAAGCCAAACACATGTGACTAGTGGGAAACTCTCCCCAGCTGTCCAGTATGTTCGACTCAGTTCTGCCCCCTTCAGGTAAAGTGAGCAGAAGCTGAAGGCTTTGGAAACCAGCTCTAATAATGGCTACTTAAAAAAAAAAATTTTTTTTTATTGAGGTATAGTCGATTTACACAGCAAAGTGATTCCATTTTATATGTGTATATATATATATATTCTTTTTAAGAATATTTTCCATTATAAGTTATTACAAGCTATCAAATATATTTCCCTGTGCTATACAGTAGGTCCCTGTTGTTCCTCTATTTTATATATAGTAGTGGTATGTGTTAATTGGATAATATATGTTTTTGAGAATGTGTGAGCCTACGAACTGGGGCGACATGAGAGGTCAGGGGCAATGAGAGAGAGTCCAGTCAAAAGTCTCCGTGTGCTACGACTCCCCAAGTACACGGGGCAGGGGATGAGAGTGTGTTAGGACTAGCCAGCCCTAAGGATTTGGCTTGTGTCTTTGTGCTAAACGTTTCCCGTTAATTCAGTGACCCAGAACTGCGACGGAAGGCCTGTCAAGTTCCTTTAATTCTGTAAACCTGTCCCTTAAAATTCCTACTTTTAGTGGATCAGGTTTGAAGCAAAACCCTCATAATGTTTAGTCTTACTAAGAGAGTGAAGAAAAGAGAAATCAGTTTGAATTTTCATTTTCCTAAAACCTTACGTAGTATGTCAATGTTTATGGATTTGGGGGTCCGTTTCTACCATCTCTCCATGAATAGATATATTTTTTGCTCTGCACGGGATAGAGTAGCCAGATACAATGAAAGCAAAACATAACGATAATTAAAACCATGTGGGAGGAATCAGAATTAGGTTGCTTGGTATGGCATTCTTAGGGAATTTATGCCCACAAAACTGAGTTATCACTAGTTTGCAGGAACTACTTTTTTTTTTCTAGATACCGTTAAATATGGAGAAACCACTTATAAATAATCATGATAACATAATTGCATATATGGCTGTTGACTTAAGTTACTTTGGTATTTCCTTCTGTAACATTATGAGCCATTCCTTATAAATACCTTTACTTCCAACAGAATTAGCCACCTAATAATAATCAGAGAGGAAGATTATTTAGAAATTACCACTCAGCATAAATAATGCTGGAATTTTCCTCTTTGTATTATGATTTCTACTGAAATCTGTCTGTAGTGCTAATTATAGAAACTGTAGAAATCCCACAGAGAGCTCTGCTGGAATCAAAACCATGCACTCTGGGTTGTATGTCTATGACCGAATACATAGCAAATCACAATTAAAAATTTTTTTTAATTGAAGTACTGTCAGTTACAATGTGTCCATTTCTGGTGTACAGCACAAAGTCCCAGTCATGCATATACCCACATATATTTGTTTTCATATTTTTTCCATTAAAAGTTATTACAATATTGAACATAGTTCCCCATGCTCTACAGCAGAAACTTTTTTTTAAATCTATTTTTATATATAGTGGCTAATAAGCAGATCACAATTTTGATCATGTTGGCTAATGTGTTATCTCTTTAGTATCTTAAAAGAAAAACAGAAAATAATTAAAAATGTGTCTATGTGTTTATAGTTAGACAGATATAAATATAGATATAAAGATACATGCATATCTGTATGTGTCAAAATTTGCATAAATATTAAGTTTTTTTTGCAATAGAAATGGTAAATATCTATTATTCCCTCCTGGAAATGGCGCTTATGAGTTTGACGGTTACGATGAAGGGCCCAGGGGCCAGAGGTGTTTTGGGACTTGGCTGCAGGGACTCTCCCTGAAGGTGGGTGATGGAGATGTCATGAATGGTACGATTACATCATCAGGTTCTTTCTGTAAGACTCACAGACAAATCCTTCTCAACTACTTGTCCACTTTGAGACTGGACAAATGATTTAAGTTCCTAAATCTCAGTGTTCTTATCCTTAAAACAGAGTGAATGAAAGCTTTAGAAAATGTGTTTTCCATCCTCTCACTACAGGTAGATCAGTAGACATATTAAAGACCAAGGGGAGACAACCAAATCCAACTAAACCCAAGGGTAACTATGCTTCACTGAGGTTAGGACAGCCAGCTAGCAGGTTGTTAATGACCCCAATGAATCCAGCTTTGAACATACACATCCTTGACGTCCCTTCTCACAGTGACTCTGAACTTGGCCATGTGACTTGCTCTGTCCAATGGAGCATTAGCGAGCACAGCAGGAGCAGAGGTTGGATAGTACTTGTTCATGGCACTTAGCTGCTATGGATGCCAGCACCACCACGAACAAGGTCCAGAATCTACTGCCAAAGGGGTCACATGGAGGAGAACCATGCCGTGCCTGCCAACCGTGCTTGCTAAACACCACCTCGGACAGTCCGGCCTCAGTCTAGCCACCAGATGACTGTAGCCATGTGAGTCACCCCAAACAAGACTATCAGAAGGACCCACCCAACTGGGCCAAGCCCAGTGAGAAGAACTGTGAGCAAATAAGTGGTTATTTCAAGCCACTGAGTTTTGGGTTGGTGTGTTACTTGCAACAGATACCTGATACATTCAGTTATCTGCTAGGATAAAACTTTTACACAGTGAAACTTGAAATTAATAAGTGATAACTAGGAGTGACCAATCATCTAAATTAAAAACATGTACCACTTGCAGATAAATGAGTAAAATGGTCAAGATATCATCAGAAAATAGAAAATGGAACAGCAAACATAAAGTTGTCTTTGCAAACAAATTTTCCATGCTGGATTACTACTTTGTGCTGTATAGATAAAAAGAAGAAATATATATATATATATATATATATATATATATATATATATATAATATATATATATAAAATATATAATTTTGGGGGGTAACTTACTGAAACATGATTTTCTATGAAGCATATGCTGGAAAATCTTGCACAAAGATTCTTCACTTTGGGTAGTGGTCCTACAGGTGCACCGCACTTGGAGGACTGTCCCAAGAGTACCAATGTAAGCTGCTTTGCAGTCATCACTTCCGGAGCAAGTGAGGTCCTGCTTGCTTAAAGTACTGATGCAGACCTCATCCTCATGGCATCTTCTAGTCACGTGCGGCCAGCACTTTGCCTGAAATGGTCCATAGCGCCTCCTAGAAAGAGTCAAGAAACGAATTAGTCTCTGAAAGTATTATTTCACATTAACACATGGTGCTGCCTCGCCTAATGGAAGATCGACGTGAAACAAGATGCTTTCTCGATCCTTCAAAACATAGCTGAGAACTAAGTTAGCACCTTCAAACGTCACACTAGAGAGCTTGGAAGAAAAAGGAGAGAAACCATATGAATTATTTTCCTTCTGTGATGAAAGACAGAGGCTGGGGGAATTCCCTGGATGAATATGCCTTCATTACTAATTTTATTTCAGTGGGTGATGATTTGCAGTGCAAACTACTTGGGAGATTTATTAGCAATAATTTTTGACGCAGACTGTGGTTTTGAGATTTGCGTTTGGCTATTGTCTCACACCAAGTGATCTCAGGAAAGATTCTTGACCTTTCAAGACGGCTTTCCCACAGGATGGGAGGTACTGCACTCTTTCTCAACATTTCTCAGCTGACTAGTGAGAATTAACAAAATGCTCTGAGGGTATCTGGCAGCGTGAGCTAATGCAAAGCAAAGCATGAGTTTAGTTAATGGCTGAGATAATCCATTAGAACCACATCCATTCATAACTTTTCTACATATTTCATTCTTGCCGTACTAAATTTAAATAACAGTCTGGGTAATGTACAATAACTTTATATTTGAAACGTTCACAGTAAGAAGATATCTACGCAGTGGAACCAAAGATATTAATCTTCTTCTTTAATATTTATCGCCTATAATGACTTTTTGCCCTTTCTTGAATAGGGCAAAAACATGCATGAAAACTCTCTGAGTACCTGTCATTTGTCCTGAGTTTATTTGCCCTCGTGATGTTACCCTGCTTAAATCCATACATCATGTTATTTTCAATAATCTTGTGTTTTAAGTCATTTTAAAGACATCAGTTTTTAAACATAATGGCAAAAAATGAACATATCTTAAAATGTATATTTAAGAAATATTTCTCTAAATCAACCTTTATTCAAAAAGTTATATTTAAGAAACTACTACAAATGTTTTGAGCATATAATTCTGAATCCAGAAGAACAAATATTAAAAATTTAATGCAATTATGGCTGTTTATGAGATGTTATCTAAATGTACATATTGAAAGGATTGATGGTCATTTATGAGGTTGATAAGTGTTATTTATTTGTTCTTAAATATGTGTTTTACAAAGTTTAAGTTGCATGATTTATCTACTCATAGAAGTTATTTCATTCAGAAAATTAGTTGTTCAACACCCATTTATGATAAAAACTCTCGCCAAAGTGGGTATAGAGGGAACATATCTCAACATAATAAAAGCTATATATGAAAAACCTACAGCCAGCACAGTACTCAATGGTGAAAAACTCAAAAACTTCCCAATAAAATCAGGGACAAGACAAGGATGCCCACTATCACCACTCCTATTCAACATAGTCCTGGAAGTCCTAGCCGCAGCAATCAGGCAAGAGAGAGAAATAAAAGGGATCCAAATTGGAAAAGAAGAGGTAAAAGTGTCACTACATGCCGATGACATGTTACTATATATAGAAAACGCTAAAAGGTCCACACAAAAACTATTAGAGCTGATCGAAGAATTCAGCAAGGTAGTAGGTTACAAGATTAGCGTTCAAAAGTCAGTGGCATTTCTTTACACTAACGATGAATCAACATAAGAAGAAAGTAAAGAAACAATCCCCTTTAAAATAGCATCCAAAGTAATAAAATATCTGGGAATAAATCTAACCAAGGAGGTGAAAGAATTATACACAGAAAACTATAACCATTGATGAAGGAAATTAAAGAAGACTTTAAAAAATGGAAAGATATCCCATGCTCTTGGATTGGAAGAATCAATATTGTTAAAATGGTCACACTGCCCAAGGTGATCTACAGATTTAATACAATCCCTATCAAATTACCCAGGACATATTTCACAGAACTAGAGCAAATCATAATAAAATTTATATGGAACTATCAAAAACCTAGAATTGCCAAAGCATTACTGAAGAGAAAGAAAGAGGCTGGAAGTATAACTCTCCCAGACTTCAGACAATACTATAGAGCTACAGTCATCAAGACAGCATGGTATTGGTACCAAAACAGACATATGGACCAATGGAACAGAATAGAGAGCCCAGAAATGAACCCACAAACTTTTGGTCAACTCATCTTCGACAAAGGAGGCAAGAATATACAATGGAATAAAGACAGTCTCGTCAGCAAATGGTGTTGGGAAAACTGGACAGCAGCATGTAAAACAATGAAGCTAGAACACTCCCTTACACCATACACAAAAATCAACTCAAAATGGATCAAAGACTTAAACATAAGACAAGATACAATAAATCTCCTAGAGGAAAACATAGGCAAAACATTATCTGACATATATCTCAAAAATTTTCTCCTAGAAGAGTCTACCCAAGCAATAGAAATAAAAGCAAGAATAAACAAATGGGACCTAATGAAACTTACAAGCCTCTGCACAGCAAAGGACACCATAAGTAAAACAAAAAGACAACCTACGGAATGGGAGAAAATTTTTGCAGATGAAACCGACAAAGGCTTGATCTCCAGATATATAAGCAGCTCATACGACTCAATAAGAAA